GGGGGGTCAGCTGTTTGGTCGCACTTGTTTCCATCCTTTTCTTCCCGATCACATTGAAGGAGGTCCGGTCGATTAGTTTGAAAAGAGAAAATGTTTCCCGGGCGGCAGCACTGCGTTCCGATCTGATCTGAGAGGCGCGGCGACAGAACAGGTCCCTATCGATTTATCGACGAGAGTGAGAGGGCATTGCATTGCGGCCAAATGCGGGAGGTGTACTTTAAATAGTTATTATTTTTTTTTCTACAAAAAAATACCAACCCTTAAAAATTCTTTGTCTGTCTTCTTCCCGCCTCGGGCAATATAGTTTGTTGAGGTACTAATGGACCGGGCACGATTGCAGGGGGCCTATTGGCTGCTAAACCAACACGGAGGGCGGCTGAGATGTGCCCCTACAGTGCATTAGGGACATTATTCAATTATTTCTAAGTGCATATCACGAGGGGCCTTAACCACCGTCATCGAAGGTATTCACAATTTCTCGGTGTTGGTGGCCAGCGGCCACCGGGGCCGGCCGACCGGCCACCCTTCTCTCGACCAGACAAGCTAAAGCGTTGAATAGGGCGATCCGCCCTGAGGCCGCGCGACACACTGAACGTGGCCATGGCCATGGCATGCCTCTTCTCAAAGGTGCCAGGGGGTTTGGATGCCCATGGTGGCACTTTGTGACAGATTCACTCAAGCGATATGGAATGTCTTGTGCCAATAGGCGCCTCGAAGGCGCCGCCGAGCCCTGCCATAACCCCTCCTAACCCCGAGTGACCAGTGTGTGTGCCGCTCGCCCGCCCGCCCGGCGACGGCCCGGCGGCCCAAATTATAATAATTTGCAACAATTAGCGGTCCAGGGCGGCGCGTCCGGGGCCTAATCGACGGTAATGGAGCTCCTTCCAACTGTTGCAGCGGCGCGGCGACGGCGGCGACGACGGCGGCGATGTGAGGGTATGCACCGCCTTGTCGCCGTACGACGTGTCGTGCCCGTCTGTGCGCTGCTGCCCAGCCCGGCACCGGCGGCGGGCTTCAGAAATCCAACACAACATCCCGAACGATGAGCGAAGGACCCGGCGCGGGACCCCGCGGCGTGTTTTTAATTACAGGGTCGGCTGACGCAGTGTGGCCTAGCTGTTTTGAACCTTTCTTTTCTTTTTGTTTCTGATTTTCCATCTGTCTGTACGTTACAGCAGCGGCGCGCGGGGGGGATCGGACGGAGATAACCGCATGGCCATGGCGGCGCGGGGGAGGAGCGGGACGCGAATGGAAACTATGTGTGAGTATGATCGTGCTTAGCATACATTAATTAGCATGGGGGTTGGCTTCGGTTCGGCTTTTTAGTAGAGTGGGATAGTTTTTTTTGATCGTCGTTGCAATATTACATGTCAAGGCTTCACACGTGTACTGCCCATTGGAGGCAAGTGCAGTATTTGCACGTCTCATAAGACCTCTAGAATGAGAGAGAGCGGGGGAGGAGGAGGGAGGGGGACGAGAGAGAGAGAGAGAGAGAGAGAGAGAGAGAGAGAACCGCCAGCAGCCTTTCGCGAGTCGCGTGTCGTCCGGTCACGTGTTATTTGCCCGCTGCTAATTGGCTGTAGCAGCATGCGTGTTAGCGAGTTTGCCGCGCGCGGTCCATCTGAACGCGCGCTCCTTTATTTTTGAATTTTCGGACAAGTGTCCTCTCACTCTTACTCTGTGCTCGCTGCTCGCCCCTGTAAAAGAGGCTCTGTCTCGGTCTTTGTGCCGTCTGGTTGCCTTCATCCTTCCCCATCATCGCCGCACCACCGTCACGCTGACAATGCCTGCTTGAGCCAGCTTTGCTTGGAGTGGGTTTGTGTTTTCCTAGGTAGCATGTGCAGGTCAGGCATTGCGGCACGTGACGCTGGTTCCCGATGAGACCGCCAGACAGCGCATCGTACGCCCCATCCAATCTTTTTCTGTTACTAAAGGTGGATCTCCAATGGAGCAATCTGCGCTACCCATCACCCACCATCCGTCACCCATCACTTGATATTTCGTGTATTTACGCGTACAACTCGCGTTGTGGTTAAGACTAAGGATGTGTGTGAACAATTAATATGACTATACACCTTATGATTGTATTTCGCGATGTAAAAACACGAAATCGCAAGTGATGGGTGACGGATGATGGGTGATGGGTAGCGTAGATTGCTCCATTGGAGATCCACCTTAAGTTACCCTCTACTCCGCGTATCCTTTTTCCATTTCACCTCCTCACTCCTGCTGTTTTAGAAATATTTTTAAAACTACTGACAATGTTTCTTTTGCGTCAGTAACTTTAAATATTTTTTTACACTACCTATCACCGACAATTTCTTGTTTTATCAGTAAATTACTTAGTGAAATATACATTGAATGATGAATAAAACGAATAAAACATTCGTCTGTTATAATACTGGGTGAAAACGTAGATCTTTACCAAAAAAATCAGTACGCGCTTGAGAGTGATAGTGACATAAGTCTCGGTGCGGGCGTTTGCTACTGACGAAGCAGAAATATCTGAAGTTCGCAGAAAAGTGACGGCTTTGAAGTTTAAGATTATTTCGAAAGCAGCAAGCACAAAGTGCAACCAATTTTTTCTCATGCGATGTAACATTAGCCTCTTGAAATGTTTCGCGTGCCATGGAAACCAGAAATACAGTACATCATTCAGAAATGCACTTCCTTTTCGCAGAGTGTTTGTGTCCAGAGGTCGACGGAAGGCGGTGACTCCGGAACGCAATGCGCGTCGGTAAAGTACACAACACAGGTGCTGCAGGCAGGAACCAATCTCTCTCTCTCTCTCTCTCTCTCTCTCTCTCTCTCTCCCTCTCTCTCTCTCTCTCGCCTTTGCTCAGGACTCACGAAAGCGATTTGCCCCCTTCCACCACGGCCGCCGCCCGCCCGAGTCCGTTCATTCATCCCTCATTGAGGTGTCTCCGGGAAGTGCGGCCCCATTGACGGCCTTACCTACCTGCCTACCTGTCTTCTCGACTTCACACCTTGCCGTGCGCGTCGTACACTGTCAAGAGATGACCCAAATACCTCCCGTGACGCCCGTCCAAAGCAATGATGTACACCTGCACGAAGGAGGTTAGGTTACCGTCGAGTGACGTCTGTTTGGATGCAGCGTTCGCATTCGTAATAAGCACCTGCCTCTTTCTCTCTGCTCGTCATTTTCGAAAACAGAACTACAGAATGCTTCTTTTATTGTTCCTCGTAGATGTTGTATGAACTTTGGGGGAGAGGGGGATCTGCCGTGGTTTTGAGGAGCGTGGCGGAAGTGGCGGGCGAAACGTCCACGCCGTCCATAGTCTGCTGCTTGGCCTTCCGGTTTGTCCGGCCAACCGAGGTATCCACCCAGCAAACAAAGGAAGCATTTGCTTCCTGACACTAGTGTGCCTAGGTGTCTGTCGATAGAACTTGCTGTTTTCTGCTAGATTTATCAACACTTAGTTTTTCAAAAATGGAACCACTTGGAAAGTCTACGTCTTCTGACGATGCGTGACTAGGAATGTGGACTGCACACACACACAC